CTTTGATATGTGGCCAACTTCTTCAAAAAGTGACATTGGCAGTTTCTAACACATCCTAAAAGTAGTTTGAATATGCTCTCATCTACACATAAACACTGCTGTGCATGAAAGAGGATTCTCTAATACCAAAAGCCAAAAAATATCATAGTTATAAAACAATTCACTTAATTCCCTAAAGTGTATTTCAGTCAATGCCCTACACTCGAGGAAAGTGATCCCCAACCAGCAGTAACCTACTTGTCCATGGTATGTCAACAGAGGCCATTCTTTAGAAAAGGAAACCGCTTTGCTAGAAATGAAACGATTCTGACTTTGAATAGGAAATGTCAGATAATGAGATTTTTGAAAACAGAATAATTTGTATCAGACAATAAATCAAGTGATGTGCATAAGTGGATAGTTATTTAGTTTGAGCTTTTGATTGTTTTCATTAGAAATATTAATTAATAAAAATTATTAAAAGTCAATGATAGTTCTACTGCTCATAGCTCATCAAGACTAAGATATTTATATTACTTGCTGCTCATTTTGCTCACTCAGAAAAAATTTATTTCCAACCCTGTCTGCAACTATCTACAACTGCCTTTTTCTAGATGCATCAGAATTACATGAACTACTAGGGCACTCAAAGGAATAACAAAAGCTACTCATACCTGACCTGTAAGAACAATGCCACCATGCCTGGTCTGCCTTAGCCACAGCATCAAAGTAAATAAAGAAGTGGCTTCTACTATTGTTATGCTAGTTCTTAACTTATAGATAGCTCTAGTTTTAGTTCTAGTTCCAACATCAGAGTGTAGATAGTTCTAGTTTTAGGTCTAGTTTCAACCTTGTAGTTTAAGTAGTTGTAGTGTTAGTTCTAGTATAAATAGTTCTAGTTTCAGTTCTAGTGCTAACTTTGTAGTTAAAATAGTTCTAGTCCTCTGCTATAGTTTAATTTTTAGTTGTATAGTTAGAACAGTAAAATATTTTTAAAGAAAACTTTATTATAATCAAATAAAGTTTGTTTTTTACGAAGCATGGTTTCTCTTTTCAGATTCTGCTAATTTAAACAATTTCTCTTTCCTTTTGTAAGTTCTCCACTTGCTGAAAAAAACTCGTTCCACTGAGGCAGTTGAGGCAGGAGTACAAAGAATGCCAGATGCCACTGGAAAGAGCAATGGATACACATCCTTCTTTTGTAACCAATAGTCCAAGGGGTCGAAACTTCTACAACTGTGTCTACTGACTAAATACTTTTGACTCTCTTCATCGTTGCTAGAAAGTTGTCAACTAGACTTGTATAATTTTCTTCTTAGTCTAGCAAGTCACATACAAGACTTAAGTGCTTAAATTGCTTTGTTGGTGGCAGTGGTACATTTTCTTCTGATTCAACTTGAGGCTGAAATAATGGTGTAAGATGACATACCTCGTTGGAATTATCACTAGAGTCAGATGGCATTATTAGCTACAATAGGTTTTGCTGCATCCACTTGAGTAGAAGTATCTTCCTTTAGGCAGGATTTAGCAGAGTTACAGAAACAAACCTTTCAAGCTCCTTCAGAAGAGCCTTGGCAACAATTGAAATACCAGTTAGTATGGACATCTGTACAAAATGAAATAATAGACTAAGTGATAAGGTAATATATCTTTTAATAAACCTTCTTGAAATGAAGTTTTAGTTCCTTCAGTACTGGTACCACCACTGCAATGCTTGTAGTTGTTTCACTGCTTGTCATATTCGTATGGCGAGCAAAGGGTTTCAGCAAAGTTTCTACATAGGACAAGTTCTTCCACTGTGCTTCATTAAGGTTTTCCTGTTCTAACTCTTCTAGTACAGTAGTTAAGTGCTTCCTGACTTCAAGCATATGACATATCACAAGAAAACAATCCCATCTTTTCGGGTAATTCTTCACTAGTTCTTTCCCTGCCAGCTCTACTAGTCACTTTGTTGCTTTACAGGACTTGGTAACTTTCTCACAATATCCAAAGCTGGCTTTACATTAGATTTGAATGCTGGTGCAGATTCAAAAACTTTTACCACCAATTGCGAAGTGTGCACAAAGCAACTGGTACTTTTCCAAGCTTCAAAAGCATAGTGGTGATTATTCTCGCATCCATCAAAGTTGATTACATCAGAATAAGAACCTTATTCCATTTCATCAAGCTCATCTCTTTCTTCTATTCGAACTACAAATAATTCTTCGCTTTCTTCTTTGATAATGATGTCATCATTAGTACCAGTAATATTATCCTCAGAATCATCACTGCCCTTCTCTTCATTGTTACAGTTTGTTTTAAAAGCAGGAAACATGTTACTTCCATTGTATGTAAGCACTCGAAATAATTTATGACCAGATATTAACTAGTCATCAAGGATCTTCTGAAGTAAATCTGCAATTCTACTGCCAGTGTGTGGAGATGGAAATCTTCGTAATGTCGTGCAAGTAGAATGACAAGTATTGGAATCTGTTACAAGTGTGTCATCACACAATGAAAAGATGCTGTCATGCCTGGTTTCCACCAAATATCAGCCCAAATACTAAAGAATTTTGCTTATTCTGAAAGAGATCAAATCTTTGCCTTTAAATGACTTCTTTCTGATATCTTCAGAAACAGGTTTTTGATGTGGTACTAGATATATTCCATTCATTCATGAAGTAGCTCAGGGAACTATTCATTATCAACGAGAGACAAAGGCACATTGTAGCACCAATGAAAGTAGCTAACTTTTTTAGTGATAGCTATGTTTCTGATGAGTCTTTATCATGCTAGCGTTGTGGGTTGTTTGTACTTTCCACAGTTCTTTGCGATTGTGATGAACATCGTGTTAGGTTCTTCTTACAAGGTTTAGCTGTTCCCTTGACCTTCTCTGCTGCAATACATTCTTCATAATCCTTCTTGTGTTTATTTTGTGGGTGCTTTTTAAGTTGGTAGGAAACATTCCTTTCAGAATTTTACTACAATGACTCTCAGACTGGACTTCGTTAACTAAAACCAAACATTTACTAGTGTCTTTCTTCCGCTTTGTGGTAGCTAAAATATTGCCAGACATTACTTCTAATATTACCAGGTTACTAAGAAGGATTCACCCGCAAACAAGATGGCTGCCACGACATTTGCAGCCTTGCTATACCGGGAAAACGAGCTCCTATGCCTACCAGACTTCTTAGAGGACCTTATGTTGACCAGAGGACTCCAATGTACGGTACCACTCTAGACCTTTTCTGGGAGAAATATTAAAATCTGCAAAAAGGCCGTTTGTTCAGTTACCTTTTTTCATCTTCATCATGATCTCCTGTCAATCCTGTTGTCGGTCGATATATCAATCTTGCCTGGTGATAGAAGGCTAATTATTACACCATTCTACTCCAATAGGGTATGTGCAGGTCCTTGTCCCCTAGAATCATTTTCCAAGAAAGCAATAAGTGATACTGTGACTGTTAGATCACACCAGCATAGCTTATGCCGCCATTTTGTGAATTAAAGAACCATATGCTCCAAAATTTGGGTGTGATCGCGCGTGCTCAGATCTCAGAACTTGGAACAGCAAGTAGTTTTACCTAGCTATAGGCTAGCTATGCATGGAATCAAGTTGCAGTACTTAGTGCAGGTTTCTAGCTAAGAGAAGGTATTAATCTTGCATGTATTAAGTGCGTAATGAATAATTTTATTTCAAAAACAAAAAACAATTAATTAATTTTTATAATACTAGTGATAATATGAACTTGACAACAGCTACAGGATTGTGGGAAAGATAGAGCTTCTTGAACAAGGATTCATATTAAGACTAAAGTATTCATTTCACTTATCATCAGTATAGTATCTATATTTTAATATCTATTCAATTCAATCAGTGCTGTTTCTCATAAATGCTGTAAAATCATAACATGATGACAATAAAATAGAAATTTATTGTTTTTGTAGAATGAAAAAGTATCATAATTGTAACTGAAAAAATATTATAAATATTATTAAAAAATAAACACCAAAAAGAGCATAAAAAATTTAAAAAAAAGATTAAGTAGGATTCTGAATGGCCAACGAAAATACGAAATGAAAAACCAACTCTCGTTATGCAAATTTTACTTTATGTTGTAAGGTGACCTATAACTTTTAAATAATAACATTAAAAGTACAATGTAGAGTAGTATTTGCGTCACGAGAGTAGGACTTTCATTTCGTATTTTCATTGCTCGTTCGGAATCCTACTCAATCTTGTTTTTAAAATTTTTTCTCTACTAGCCTTCACTACTTTTGCTAGAAATATGTGACCAGATACGAGAAAACAAAGCTATCTGCGAGATTTTGGTAAAATCAGTTTTTTGTACTCACAGATAGAGAAAAAATGTTCCTTTTCAGCGATATGCCATTTATGACAATGCGCGATAAAATTTGGAAGTCAGGAATGCTGTTTTGAAGATTGCTCTTGAATACAAGTACAGAGAAAGAACCATTTTAAGTAATTTTCAATGTTTCTGTGTCATGCCTGTTCCTGTAGCCAATGAAACCACGCCCACCACGTAAAACCACACCCAAATCAATTAATAAATGGAAATGAAGAAAGAAGCACTTTTGACTTGCTTTTCACAGGATTTGAACTATCTGTTCTTGTATAATGGACATCTTAAGAGTTGTCTAAAGCCCTGCCATTCATGGAAACTTCAAATACTAGTGAGTTTTTCATTACCAAGTTATAGTTACTTTTATTACATCTTCTAGTGCTAAAAAACCCCTTGTTATGGACTGTTCTTAACACAGATCATTCTCATACTTCATTCAAATCTAGCCATGACTTCTTGAGTTTACAGGTAATATAATACTTTTATATAGAAGTATAATTAAGTTCTTTACATGTAACGTTAATATAGTTGACTGTGTTTGCATATGTTGATAAATCATATGAAAGATTTGTTGTTATTATGTTCATTGATGTCTCTTTCACTTGCTGTTGTAGCAGGGCCTCTTCCTCCTTGGCCTCCTTTTCCTCTCTGGCCTCTTCCTTGGCCACCTCCTCCTCCTTGGCCATCTCCTCTTCAAGCTCATTTCCGCCACCTCGTCCTTGCTTCCTGTTACCACCATGTTGCCTCCTTGTAAGAACAAAACGAGATAAAGTTACTATTCTTTACATTAATGCTCCATTGTTACGTTGAATTTCTTTCCCTTGACTCTCTCTGTCTCCCCTCCTGTGCTTGTGTCTTCTCCCGTCTTTGTCTCTTCAGCCTACCCTGTTTTGCTTCCTGCCCATTTATCATCACTGTCCTTTATTTCTCCTTTTATCCTCCTTCCTTTTTCCTTTAGTGCCAGCTGTCTTAATTTACAATGGCATAAAGCCTTTAATTAACACAACATTTAAATATTGTTTACTTTTAAAAGCTGGCCGAAACTGTTCCAAGTCCTTATGTTCATAAGTGAGAAAATAAAGTACAAGTAATTCCACTATTATTTAATTCCCTAAGGGCCTTCCTGCTTTCTTCTTGCCTAATGTTTGTAAATGAAACTAACCATAATACAAGGCAAAGTCACTATTTAATACAATGGTTCATACATCTGCTTGACAGCAAAAATTATTAGACAGCAACCATAAAAGTAAACTTACTTCAGCTGATAAAAAACAGTGTCATGTATAGTTGTATGTTTTGCCTTTCTGTCTTACCATTCTCCTTTGTACAGTCTCCTCTTTCCTCTTTGTCTGTGTCCCCTTTCTCCTCTGTCCTCTCTGTGTCCTTTCTTCTCTTTCTCCCTGACTTGCTATAAATACAATTAATTTTTGCTTTTTAATGTACAACACAAACATACAAACAACTTACCAAGTTGTCCTACCAAAAACAAAAGGCATTATAGTTATCACTGTAGGGTTACACATTCTCAACTTACCTTTAGATGGATGGACCTCAATGAAGACATCCTCTATGGAGGCGGATATTACTTTTGATTTTGAACTTACAGTTTCAGGTGTCTTATTTTATATCCTAAAGGTCACATGTGAAAGTTGCTGTTCTTTGATTGGCTGTAAATGATGCAATGACTTCTATTTTGGTATTCTCCTCCCCCACATTTTTATTATCAGTTCTCACACCTGTCAAGTTGAACACAAATCACCTGCATAATAACTTTATGGCTATCTTTCTCTTGGCCCTCTCATTTCACTTCATAAGTTTTAAACAAAAATTAGTGTTTGTCTTTATGGTGATGTCTCACGCACATACTAGTTCTACACCTTTGTTTTCAAAAAAGGGGATCCATAGCTTGTATGTCTTAGCGTTACAAACGAGTTCCTCTCCTTTAGGGGATCAATAGTTGGAATATTTGGCATTCGAACTAGTTCCACTCCTGTTTCAGGGGATCATTAGTTTGAATGTTTGGCGTTTCAACTAGTTCCACTTCTGTTTTAGGGAATCAATAGTCTGTTGTCAGCAAACAAGTTCTTCTCCTGTTGAAAGGGGATCAATAGTATGTGTTACACAAACTCATTTGTTATTCATTTACTGATCGCATGGACATGTTCTTCTATTATGACCAAATTGACCACAATTACCAATTTTTTTTGTGTTGCAGGTTGTTCTAGACATTGCCTAGGAGAATGCGGTACTTTGATTTTATTGCGAGGTCTGGTGGATCAGCTACATCTGGAGTTGATTGTCGAGATGATCCTATTGGTCGAGGTACATCAGGAAGTAGGCAGGTTACATCTTTACATACCTATTTGCAAAACGATCTTTTCATAAAGGTACCATTTGCTTTCACTTGACATACCCTTTGTGGTAATATATTAAGTAGTTTATCTTCTATTATTTGAGCGTCCTCCTTCAGCAAATTGAATTGTGTGACTAGGCCATCTACAACTTTTCTGGCTTCAACTAAACCAGGTGAAGTCACATTTACGACAGTGTTGAAAGCCTTTGATGCCTTTTATTTTATTGATTAATGTAGCAAAGGAACTGGACCAGTCAAATGTTTCTACAATGAGTTTACCAATGCTACTTCCTACTGGTTGGGCTTTGTTCACAGCAGATGATTGTTCTACAACTTGAACGAAGTCATCCAATGAGTCCACCTCTGCTTTGCGAAACTTTTGCTTCAAAAGTCTGAAGCACTAGTCTGAAAAAAATTTTGTGTCCAACTGGCAGGAAGGATATTGAAATGGATGCATTAAGTCCTGATATGGCTCTCCATAAAAGGTACTAAAATTAATAAAGAATTACATTAAAAAGGTACATTATTGTGCATGCATTATACTTACTTAAATAAGTGTAATTTTTTATTTTGCCCAGTGTGGTTGTCAGCATTAAATTAAATAATTACCTTAGTTAAGGCCATGAGCCTTCAAATAAAAGTGTACCTTGCTTATGACAGGATTGGCGCCTTTACCAGTGTGGAATGATTAATTGATTAAGAAAGCTGAGGGATAGCTTCACGGCACACTCCAAAAATACCACATTTCCTGGGAGTAACAAAGTAACTTGGACCTGCTTGGAGTGGACTTGAAGCATAGTCAACTTTAAAAAAGACAGTAAGCTAGATACACTTCAATATCATAAAATGTTACCTGTTGAGCATAATAGAAGCTATAATGCGCTACAATATTTAGCATAGCAAGTAGACTTGTCAGTGGCAGATTGTAATTGTCTGCTGCATCAGTATACAGCCCTTTTAACAATAATTGTACCACTTTTAATACATCGTTATGGTACTCCCTTTCCTTTTTTAACAAGACTTCTATGATCTAGTGCCTTTTGCATAGCCCGAAAATGATAAGTATAATACTTGCGTTATTACAGTATTAAATTACCTCATTTATCGTTTCATCAGATTGCATGTTATTACTTCTTATAATCAGTCCACTTATCTTTTTACAAGTGGCATACCAGTCAGACATAGGCTTCATTTTTTCAATATAAGGCACATAGCATTGCCACAACATGTTGAATGTTGTTTCAACACATGCTTTGACCTGAAGCTCTTCACATGATTTTGCATTCTCTAAGTATACCTGGCTTTTAGATGTACTGCATGGTAAGAACTTATTCTTGTAACTTTTCATTCCAGGTATGCTTCCAGGAAGATTGAAACCATGCACTTTAGCGTAATTTCTGGTGAACACAAGATCTCTAAGAATATTGTCATAAGTCAAAGCTTGGTTTGGTGTCTTTCCAGCATTTTCATGGACTCTAATGAAATTGAGTACATAACATTTAATTGTATGTCTCATACCTTGGTATTAATCCATTCATTTTGAACTTTTCATGATTTCCTTAAACATGCTTTTGCCCCATACATGTAGTTTCAAAAGTGCTACTCTACATATCTAGTTGAAAAGTATAATTAATTTTGTGTTGTGTCACTCATAGTGACAAACCTTATGACTTTGATGCATGAACATAAAAAATTGCCTCTTTCTGTCTCCTGTGGTTGCGTCGACAATCCCCCCATGGTAGATGTTGCTGCCATTTGACTCATAATAGCAATGTCTTGAACAGGCTTTACCATGGCTTGTATGTCATATCTATATGTTTTTATGTAAGAGTGACTGAACAGAGCATAGCAACTATCTGCGCAACCACATCCATGTTCAATGAACTTTGATAATTCTTCTTCCTCCTCTAGGCATTGGTGGTTCCAGGGGTGGGCATTAAGGGGCAATGCCCACCCTGAAGTTTTGACAGAAAAAGGAAGTCATCATAATCATTAAAATTAATTAGTATTGTTATTAAAATTAACTTTTCATGAATTTTTGAATGTTAATTTTGTAATCATTTCGTGCAATGCGGCAACCAAGTGTCAAGCATCTCTCCTTTCTTTCTTGCCTCCTAAACCAAAAAAAGAAATACCAATGATGATAACCTTATTGAAAGAAGTAAGGTTAATAGCTATCATGTATAGATCTATAAATAAGCAAGTACTGCTTGTCATAAATTATCAGTTGTGTTAATGGCAGCTGCTCACAAAATTTACAACCAGAAATTTCTATGGATGAGCCATATCTAGTGTCAGTTAATTTGACAGAGTTAGAGACTATTGATTATGATCTTCCTTGTGATACTTCTACTTTTAGTGAAGCTCTGAGTCTGATTCGTCTCGCTAGCCAGACCATTTCCCAGCCTACAGTCATTGGGGTGGATGGCAATGACAGCAGGCTGGGGAATGGCCTGGCTAGCGAGAGTAAAGTCTCATAGTCAATCACAAAGTCACTCACGGCACATGCACAGATGATGACAATGGTTGAAAAATTAAATATTGTGAGGCCCCTAATATTATGGCAAAACGTAGTTCCGCGCGGCGGGAAACAGTGGGCGTGGTCAAAATCGCGGCGTGCTTTGCGCGCCATTTTATCCTCTTTCTTGCCCACCAGCTTCCACAATCCTGGAACCGCCTATACCTGTAGGTCTTCCATCCTCATGTTATCACAAGAGTGAGCGGTGGAAGTAGCTGGAGCATCAGGCGTTGCTGATTCAAAATCAAGACATGATACTTGTAGCTCCACAGCAACCTCAGGATCAAACAGTGGTGGATTAATGTCTTCATCACAATCTTCTGTCTCTTTCTCTTCTGCCATATCTTCTACTTCATATTTTGTCTCTATCAATTAAAACATACACTGTTAACCGAGTTTAGTATGATAATATTATAGTTTTATATAGGTGATGGAATGTCGTTGTGATAGCTAACCGCTATTTACAGTTAGTATGTAAACAAACTGTTATGAATAAGCTTACCACTGGTTTTATCACAAAAGTTGTTCCCAAGGATTAAAGCAACGTAGCCACTGTCTCGAGGACCTATTTCTTCATTTCAAAAGTGAGCAATGTCTCTTTTTGTAGCCATAGTTTTCAAAATAGTCTTCTTCGTTTTTGTTATACTTCTAATAGTTGCTATGGCAACTCCATTGTTAACTTTGACGCATTAAAGCCCTCTCTTTTTATTCTGTGGTAGCTCTGTGAAACATTCTCCGTGCACAATCACGAAAAAGTGTCAAAGGGCTTCTAACTCAGGAAAGAAGGCTTCGCTACCCCGGATTTTGGTATCAAACAAAAGGATTTTGCTTATATAACATGTTTATGTCATAAAATGAATTCGCTGAGGTAAAAATGTTTCATGATTATGAGCCCATAGCTCAAAATTATAATTCCCGCAGATAGCCAGTTTTTTCATATCAGCAGACATGTGGTGACTCAGAACATGTACAACACACTATACAGACTAGACGTAAACTAATTATGGAACTAACAAATTAGCTCTACTAATA